CCCCCCCCCCCCCAAAAAAAAAGGAAAAAAAAAAAAAAAAAGATGATTGTTTGAATCTATTCAGCATCATTTGCTCCTCTTTAGTCACACCATTGGCCTGTAGAGTGCTTAAGTATTAATTAAAATATTCCGTTTCTGATTTGCTTCTAGTCCGCCCTTTAATTTTAGTCCTTTATTATCTATTAGCCCTTTTTCAGTAATCTCCTTTTTAAAATGTCCAGCCAGTTTTCTTCTTCCTTTGATTCAAATGAATCCTTTTTCCTTCAAATCTTCCCTTATAACTCATTTTCATTGACAGTCTTTCAACTGTGATTGAAAGGAGCAGTTCTACTCCTATCCTTATGCTACCTTAATTAGCTATTCAGTTATTATTCTAATTAGACTATAAGTTCCTTGTGTCATGCACCTTGTCAAGCTATTTGTTTTTAAATTTCCACACGCACTTATATTATGTAAATAATGCCTAATGATAATAGCAGTAAGTAGAGATGATAAAATGGGTAAAAATGAAACATTTATCTTCTGATCGTTCACCTATGCAGAAGTATTTTAATTACTGTTGCTGTAGCTTCCATAGCCACATTGTAACACACTGAAAGCTACTTGATGAATTTTTAACTTTTTATATCTATGAATTGCATGGGTTATGTGTATCTTTTTTTTTTAATCTATTTGTTTTTAATTGTGTTTTACTATTCAGTATTAGTAACACTCAGAATATTTTCAAAGCTTTCAATAAAATCTTAGGGGGAAAACAAAAGTACAAAAAATCTGATCAATCTCTGTTTTGTTAGCATATTGAACAACATTCCAGACTGAACAAAAGATTATTATGCTCTGTATTTTTAAAATTTAGCTAATAACCATAAAATAGAAGAAGTATTATTAGCTGATGATATGTGAACCTTAGAAAGTCCATCTGGAAACAAAGCATTCGAAATTTGCCATCTGTAAACATCCCAATTCAGAACAAATAACTGTAGAATGAATTATGTGATTTCATTAATGCTTCCTAGATTAGGAGAGATTTTCAATCTATAGGAATATTTTTTTCTACAGTTCTTTACAATTCCAAGAAATTAAATAGGATATTAAAATTATTTTTAAATCCATACCATGGAGCCAAACTGAATGTTTGTGATTCTCTGCTCAGGTGGTTACTTCTGTAGATACTTTCATAGGACCAAACTATGGTTTCTTCAAATCAGCTTGTACTAGATGTCTCTGCTGAATTTATCCTTGTTTGTCCTGGAGCTAAAGAAAAGAAGTTAAAAAAAAAAAAAAAAAAAAAAATCAAACAAAAAAGAACAGAAACCAAAAGTCTGTTGATGTAATGCTGGAAATTTTTCTGTATTGTTCAGAAAGAAATTTTTTTTCTCTGTATGTATATATTTGGGGGTGCTCTATGCACAGCAGAGAAGGGCTTGGTTTAGTATGTCAGAAACAGGATGATGCTTCACTTATTTAAAATGCAGTTGCATTAGTAATCACTATTCTGTTCATCAGCTGAAGGAGCATGTGGAGGGACACTACGTGGGACAAGTGGAACTATTTCAAGTCCTCACTTCCCTTCAGAGTATGAAAATAATGCTGATTGCACTTGGACCATATTGGCTGAACCAGGAGATACAATTGCTTTGATCTTTACTGACTTCCAGTTGGAAGAAGGATATGACTTCTTAGAGATCAGTGGAACAGAAGCACCTTCAATATGGTAAGTGAGAGATTTTGTAAAGATCCATATTTCTGTTTTCCTTTGTTGGTATTTTTAAAATATATTTAAGGGTAGCTGTGCTTTCAATCTGTGAGTAATAACCACTTTGTTAGATATTTTCCTTTTTGTGTCTTTTCATCCTCCAGGACTGAAAACAATAAACTAATCTGTTTCTAGTACTTTCCAAATCTTCATTTTCCTCCATCTTCAAGAGTTACATTGGTAAAGTGTCTTAGCAATGAGCATTCATTGCTGTTCTACATTTGAACTTGGTACAAGCATGTTAGCAGATGCTGTATCTTGAAGGGTTGGCTTATTGTGATATTGTACTTTCTGAGCAAAATTCAGCCTCATAGAAAAATGGGAACACACAGAGAGCAAATAAATGTCATCTTATTCTAAACAGGCTTTAAATCAGTTCTATTTCTGTACTCATGCTTTGATATATTTTTATTTTTTGTTGACTCGTTAAAAATTTTGGCTTAGGAATATTAGGGTTTAGCAATATTAGGGCTTAATTAATTCAGGATTAGCAATTGTAATACTCAAACTTCTTTCTCTGTACCAAAAAGATGATAGTTCTTATGAGTTATTTTAATTGATTAAATTACAGAACAGTTTGTATTTGGATTTTTCTGCAAGCAACATATAGAGGCTTTGTATTGTTTTCATCCCTGAGAGGAATGCCTTGTGTTTTGCATTGCCATTGCTATAAAGTGTAGTGTTGGCAAAAAAAAACAAAAAACAAAAAACAAAAAACAAAAAACAAAACAAAACAAAACAAAACAAAACAAAAAAACAAAACAAAACAAAAAAACAACAAACAACTAAAACCACCACAGACCTGCTGCTCACACGATGGATATTATCTTCTCTTTCTGGAGGTCTGATGAATCTCACTTTTATTTTTATGGCATAACATACTAAGCAATGAAATACATTTTGTGAAGTTCTAGGTAGCATCTGATATGTTAAAAAACTTGTCAAATGAAAATGTGCATGCTTAGCAAGCTTCACTCTGGGGCTACTACCTGGATTTTGTCATAAAATTACTCTCCCATTTTTCCACGTGACCACACGTTGTATAACAGTAGCCACTGAAATAGCTTTGTATAAATTAAGTGCTCATATTTTACTTTCTGAAATACAATGTGTAAATACCTGAGTTGCCTCACTGTCAGGCAGAAACATGCACAACATTCGTCAGATCCGATGTTTTATTATTGTGGGTTCTGAGGAGCAGATGCTGAAATCTGGAAAGAGAAGAGCTAATGGAATCTTATTACAGGACATAAAAATCTGTCCATTTGGTTTTATGTGATAGGCTCTAATAGCTACATGAGTATATATTTGCAGCTGTAATCCAAGAAATTCACTTGCTACTGAACTTTAACATATAAATATAGGAATTGTTTCACATTCTATGTTTCTATGGTTCTGTAGTTTACAGGCAATAGCATTTACATATACATACCCATTCCCCAGAAGATTTCTCAGAATAGGTGATGTAGAAGAATATGTATAAAGCAAAGGATGCATATTTTGCATTGATCTTGTGTGGTATTGATCACTAGTAGTGCTTGAAATCAGAAAGATCATAAGAATCTTCTTTCTCCTAGAATTTAATCTGAACATTTTTTTGTCTCTGTTTTTGGTTTGTTTATTTTTATTTATTTATTTATTTGTTTGTTTGTTTGCAGATATTTTTATTAACATGCTTAATCTTATTACAAAAAGAAAAATGTGGAATTTATGATATGTTCCTGTGGTCACTACTAAAAGTTTGAAGAAGCTATGGGAAGTTTTATAAGAAATATTTAAAGGATTATTGGATAAATTGTAATGATGCTACACATTCAGCTAAATTTAAACCAGAACGGTTACCATAGTGACATTGGAGCCATGCTAAATGTAGTGCGTGCTGTAATCTACTAAAATCAGCTGTGCTCAGATGTGAAATTATTCCATACTTAAAACTAATGGTCTAGAGGTGTGTCACCCTAAAATGTGACTTTATTTTTAATTGTTGCCTTTTATTGTATCTGGCATCATGTCAACAGATTTCTTCAGTAATTCTGTGTTAGAAGACATGTATGCCATTAGTGTGATGTGGTAATTATGTTTTTTCCCTTAAAGGAATATTTGCTGAAGAATAAGCCAAATATTTTCCTACTGAAAAGCTCAGAAACACAGATATGTTAGTACTGGAAAACTTAGAAAGAGAATAAGAATAAAGAAAATAATTTCAGATGGTGATTCTCTAGTGATTTTAGTGTATGGTGCAGTAGCTCTTGATTAACCTCCCCTCTCCAGAAATATCAACAAGATTATAAACAGTTCCATGACAATTTCAGGAAAAACTGAATGAACCTTTAAGAAACAATTAAGTAAATTGATGGAAATGCAAGAAGAAATATAAACTACATGCTGAGGAAAAATAATCTTATGTGTATATAAAATCTGTGTATGAGATTTTCTATCATATTCTGTTCCAGTCCAGTCCATTCTATTATATTTTTTCTATGCCCCACGTGTTTCTAAATCTTCTTTAAGATGTTTGGTCAGTTTTAATTTTATCTAGCTGTTTGTAGGTTTGTTTCTCAGTGCACTGAAAAGAAGAAAGGGATTTTTTATTTTTTCTTACTTCCAAAGGATTATTTGAAAACTACGCATGCAGTGTATCTTAATGATATTAGTTTATAAAAGATTCGAGTTACATTACCTCATTATTCATTTTATGTCCACAATACAATTAGAGTGTTGAAAGTTATTGACATTTTTTTGTCTAAGTAAGGGGCAGTTATGGAGATCTGGGTCTTGAATGGATGTTCATATATAGATGTATTTTTTTATTTCTTTGAATCAATATGAGTGTCAGTGGGCTGAAAAAGGTATATATTAGTGCTTGCAAAGTGAATATGATTAGGTAGAGTGCATTTTTTAGTCTGTAAGGGAAGTAAAATTATTATTAGTTATACTGTAGATGAAAGAAACCTTTCTGAATTTGAATCAGTTGGTTAATTTGTTATTACATAGAGAAACCTAAGATTGAGATATATTTATCTGGAGTTGGTATGCTCTTTTTCCCAATACCAAGAACAGTACTTCTGGGAGCTTATCGGAAAACCTTCTGTCTGGAATCCATCTCAAAGTCCACCAAATGTCTGGATTTTTAAAGATTCTGAAGAGCTCCTGTGTGGTGAATTATTAGAAGTGATTTTTTTTTTTTTTTTAATTCACATAATTTCTCTACATTAAATCTCATTTTAAATGGTTCCAGATATGTATCTTTATATTTCAGCTAAAACTATGTTGTATTTAAATTTAAAGCAAGATTGGATCTAGGGATGGCATTAAGAAGTATCTAGAAGTCCAGAATGAACATGATATGTTTTGATGTAAAATCAGTAAAATATATATTGGTGTCACGGAATTAACTAGATCAATTTATGCCCGTGACAGGGGGCAGTAGCCCCCTGCCCTCCCCACCCCCTGCCTGGCCCCACAAAATGGGAAGGAAGGAAGGAAGGAAGGGGGGAAAAAAAAACAGCAGCAACAATTTTACTAACTATGATATCGGAATGCAAGATAACACAATATAATACAATCTAATTGAAATTGAGACTAATAAATCAAATGAGATATGAGAGAGAGTTCCTGAGACCGAGTCAAACCTGAAAAGCTTGGAACGGCTAGGAAAGCACCCTCCAGCACCCACTGCCAGGCAGTAAGAGGCCGTCACATCCGGTAGGGTCAGATCCCATGACTTCCGTAATGTGTAGGGATAGGTACGTAGAATTAGAGCATTAACAATTTAATTCCAGTACATGATGTTATGATGTGGAATACTGAAAATCAAAAAAAAAAAAAAAACACCATAAAACCATGACATTCCACCCCTTATTCTACATCACTACATCCTGCTTAATATATATGTATATATACATACATATACAGACAAACAAAATGATTAAAAATGCATCCCACACACACGTCTATATACATATACATAGAATTACTGTCTGCACTCCCCCAGCATCAAGTTTCCTTGTGGTACACATTGAACATCCCCATTTTCCTGCATTACCCACCAAGTGGATCCAGGTCCCTGGGCAAAAACAGTACCGTGGAGAGGTTTGCCCTTTCCAGAAGCTGGAAGAACCCAAACTGCTTTTCCCAACATGCTCTTTACATGTACAACAGGGACTTTATCTCCCTCTACGGTATGTAGGAAGCTGGATTGGGTAGGACCATCACGATTGATAGATCCTCTGGTATTGACTAACCAGGTGGCTTCTGCCAAATGCTTCTCCCAGTGCTTACATGTTCCGCCACCCATTGGCGGAAGCCATTCTTTTGCAAATCTTTTTGTGAATCATCCCAAAGACTACCCCTCAACATTGTTATAGATGCAAGTATATAAATATATATTGATTTGGACTATTTAGCTATTTTCAGGTGACGTAAAGCTGAGCAATTCACATGGCTGTAGATAAGTCAGACTCAGGCTTTTTCTTTCAAGTGTGTGTTTTTGTCATAACTTTTGCAAAATTAAAAACACATTTGAAAAAAAAATAGCATTACAATATGAACAAAAGGTGATTATGATGATGAGAATAATTCTGCTATTACTACTTTTTAACTTGAAATCTTAATATTAAACATATCTTGTTCTTATTATTTTCTACTTTAGTATACAATACTAACATTATTGGACTGCTTCCATTTAGATCTAAAATCATTATCCTTTTTTTTTTTTTTTTTCATTTTTTGCCAAAGGAAGGGAACAAACTGTACTTTATATTTAATTTTATTCAAATAAATTTTCGAATACTATTTTAAAATATCTTTAGAATTATTTGGACTTCCTTATAAATCACTTCAATATCCTAATGAAAGACCATGGAAATTTATGTGAATGTGAGAATGTTTTGGAAGCAACAGTAATGAATTGCTATATTCTTGGCATACATTTTGACATAAGTAACTGTAGTAATCTG